ATCTGGGAGGTGCAGCATGAACGTTTACATCCTGTCACGCTGTCAGAAGCTCTCGTCACAGTTGATGCACGCTTCCTTCTGCAGAGATAGTCAGAGAGTTGAAAGAAAATAGTTTCTACTTGCTCACAAAAATGTTTGTTTTTTTGTCGTGAGACACTGCTTCTAAATTATTATTATTATTGTTTATATGAAGCTCTGAGCACCACAGGACAAGCACCACTTAGAAGAGAACTGCTTCTTTAAGCCTCCTAATGTAGTATCCATGTGAATAAACATGATTCCTGTGTCCTTCTTTCTGCTTCTGTCCTGGTTTAGCTCTACTAGCTGGAACTAAAGTGGTGTACACCCAGTTCATCAGCAAGCTGAGCGAGCACAGGGAGCCCTGCTGCCCCGTGTGCCGACGATCGTTTCCCTCAGAGTCTGAGGTGCAGGAAGTTGTCAGAGTCTTGCAGTCTAAACTACACCTGGTGCCAGAGAAACTGAAGATCACTGAGCAGGATCTGGAGATGACAGAGAGGAGGAGAGAGGAGATAGTGGCTCTCAGGCCTGTGAGGTACAGTGTCAGAGACGTTTGTGTCAAACCAACAGTCCAGTCTGTCCTCATTTCCTTGTAAGAGATAAAAACGAAGAATCCACTGTCGATTCATTGATTTTTCTCTTTTATGTCTCATGTCAGGGAGGCCATTGTGCAGTTTCAGGAAAATGAGCTGCCAGCATTGAGGAAGCGGCTGCAGACTGTGGACAGAGAAGCTGAGAGGCTGAAGGGTGATGTGGAGGAGCAGGAGGCTCTGCTCGCCGTCCTGAGGTCTGAGGAGGAAAAAGCCAAAGACTGCCTGCAGGACATTTCCCTCATGGACTCATACCTGGTACCAAACATTTGTCTGTCTCATTCTTTCTCACCACATGTGCCAGACACAGCCAGGACCTGCACACATCTGTCCTTTTTTCATGACAAAGAATCAAGTTTAGAAAGTACATAAAAAGTGATGAGATCTGGATTTTCTTCTCTGTAGAGAAACCTTGAAGAGGTGGAAAGGAAAATTGATCAGCAGGCATCCAAACTCCAGGAAGTAAACCTGGACAACACATTTCAGCAGCTCAGTCAGGACAAACATGAAACTCAGGACCAGCTCGACGCCAGTAAGACAACCAGCTCTGTTTCCAGCCCTGATTTTAACTCCGACCCTTGATTTCTCCCATGAAACCCATGACAATCCGAACTGTGTAAAAACTGGACTTACTTCATATCTTTTATATCTGCGTCTCTGCATTGCAGCATGATTTCCTTTCTTTTGGCCTTTTGTGTCCTTGCAGCTTACAGCACAATTGTGCGTAAACATAAACAGATCCAGGACCAGCAGGAGCAGATTCAGAGGCTGAAAAGTGCAGCGATAGAGATGAGAGACGAGCAGCTTCAGCTGATCAGAGACAAACAGAAGCAGCAGCACCTGAAGGAGCTGAGTGCAGGGATCACTGC